CGCAGGCTGTGATTGACGCCCCCCCGAACTCGCATCACCTTCCGTTCCTACCATGTTATAGCCTGTTTACTGACTGATCACGGCCCCCCTGAATGGTTATTAGTCCAGTGATTCTCATTTCAAACTGCCCGCCTACCATGGCATTCAAAAACGGACTTAGTGAACGCCTCGACGAGCTGCGATTCCCCTCTCCACGATCACCTCCCTCCGAATCCCCATTTCCTGGCTACAATGCGCTCTCTCCGACCCATTCGAACTTCGTGTCGGCGTTTTCGCGTCCATCCGGTGACGTTCGTGCCAATCTCCAACGCCGCTTCACAACAGACTCGAGTAAAGTGTCCTCATGGAACTATATGAATGGTGTTGGTGGGGGTGCACCGGCGGCGGACCCTCTAGATCTCCTTTCATCGGTGAGTCTAGTAAATTTTCTGGATATCCTTGTTGTGACCTAGTGTTTTGTCCCCATGCAATCACGTTCGACCAAGCGGTCCCGGTACTATGACTGTTTGTTAAGCACTCATGTGCCGTGTGCTTGCAAGCAAGGTCTTTGTTCCTGCCCTGTGTGGTGATCATTGGCTGTATTTGCAGTTCATGAAGCGGTTCTCACAACCACTTAACTGCCCTTTCCTGTACCCGAACACCCACTTCTTGGCTGTAGACAAGCACCGCTTTCCCTACTCTGATGTATTATAAGCCCAGCGCATGTTCTCGGAACTTCGTGTTCTTGGCATGCAAATCATCGTGTTTTTGCGTGCTCGCGTTCTTTTGTGCTCGGCGCTCAGAAGTGTTTTGTTGCTAATTGACTGCAGTTTGAGAAAAAGCGTCAGCATATTGAATACATGCGAGAGCAGAGACGGAGGTTTGAAGAAGACATGAAACTCTTAGACTTACAACACGAGAAAGAGAAGCTGGAAATGGACCAAATCGCGAAGGATCTCGCCAAAGCCGGTTTGTCTGGACCAGTCAGTGAGCCGACGACGCCGCCAGAATATCATGATAACACCCTTCCTGGCTTCACCCGTCCTACTCGGTTTTCAACCTCCAGTGTGACTTCATCTCCTGGCTTTTTCAACGTTTTTGCGCCATCTCAAGTGACAACTCCCCAGAGTCAAGTAAACCATAGCTCTGCCCAGACCCCGACAAATCGATTTTCTGTTCACTCTGTTCCTGGTTCTCGAAGGAACTCTGAGAAGGAGGATTTCGGCCAGGAGCCTGCATCTCCTTTCCGTCCAGGGCCATCGTAAGTTTCCTCCCCCCCCCCCCCATCTCTTTCATAGGCACTGCCTTGCCTTTGATCGGATACTCAGGCACTGCCTGAGAACATATACCCGCAAGGTGTAGTGAGGCGGCCTGCAAGGCTCCGATACCAGCAAGTAACACAATTCATTCACTGTGGCCTTGCTGTGAATATACCCCAGCCACTGTGAAATGCCACCTCTTTCTTCATTCACAGCATCCTGGCATCTCCTTGATACCTCCGCCTCAAAGATCCCTCTCACCGCCTTGCTTTTCATACCTCCTAAGAGTCACCAACTGACAATACTTAGCATTCACCGGTATTCAATGCCTTCATCTGGGCTAGGCTCCCAGATTCGTCCCAATATAAGTTCCTTCGATCGCTCTTCCGGTCTGGAGTCCTTCAACGCCGCAAAGTACTTGTTCCACAGCGAAGACGATCCATCAATGCTGAAGGACGAGGATCGAATTCCAACGCCCGATATCAAGAGTTATCTCAAATTGACGGACCCCGACGATAAGTTTCCTACTCTCTCACGACGTGACGATTCAGGCCTAGTAAGTCTCCTCAAAATATTTGACGCTCCTGTTCTTACCCATCTACCTAGTTATCCGCGAACTCGGATGCTCTAGACTTGGCAAACTCGCGAACCCCGAACCCTGAGACCTGGAACTCTCACAGCCGTCACCGTACCTCGCATCAGAGCATGCCTCAAAACGCCCTGAACATGTTCCGTCTTGAACAGCTTGGGTCTTCCGCGGAAGAAGTCCATTCTCATTCCGCTACTCCTGCACGTCACGTCGCCAGACACTCGCTTGAAGCGAACGTTCTCTACAGCGCTGACGGCAAAAACGAAAGCATGTCTGCAACAGTCTCAAACCGACCTACATCTTTGCAGTCCTCCTACTCCACGAACGATCTACCCACAGTCAAAGGCGATGCCTTCAACCCGGCTATTACACCTCTCAAGACTCACGCGGAGCAATTCCAGCCACATAATGGCAACCTGGGACGGATGCCAGGCTCTGGTCCTACCAATCGCTTACCCAAGGACTCACCTAAACACGAGGAGGCTAAAATTCAGGGGTCCCGACCTCAGCAGACGGTTCTTCAGGCCAGTGCTGCTCCGTTCGGCCCGCAGCTCACCACTGGAGCCGGAGCTGTCAACAGCAACATTGCTGCGCCAACCACACTGACTCCCTTCCAGCCACCCTTCTACGGGTATGGCCTTCAAGCATTTATGGGAGCTCCTACACAGCTTCAAGCGTACAACCCGGCAGCCCCCTTCAATGGCTATCCTTCCACCTATGGGAATTTCCGCCCAGGGGAAGCCCCAGCCAAGGGGGCTGGTACCCGTCGGAATGGCGACGCAGATACTGCCCAGCTGTCTCGTTTCACGAACTTTCCACTTGAACACTATCAGGGCGAACTGTACAGTCTTTGTAAGGACCAGCATGGGTGTAGGTACTTGCAGAGAAAGCTAGAAGAGCGTAGTCCAGAACATGTGCAGATGATCTTCGAGGAGACTCATATGCATGTCGTCGAGCTTATGACAGGTTCGTATCATGTCTCCACTGCTATACAACCCCCATGCTGACCTCATTTCCTTTCCATGACAGATCCTTTTGGAAATTACTTGTGCCAGAAGCTACTGGAATATTCGAATGATGATCAGCGTACGGCTCTAATCAACAATGCTGCACACCAGCTGGTGAAGATCGCTTTGAACCAGCATGGTACCCGAGCTCTTCAGAAGATGATCGAGTTCATCTCCACTCCAGAGCAAACTCAGACAGTGATTCACGCTTTGAAGGATCAGGTGGTGGAGTTGGTTCAAGACCTGAATGGAAACCATGTTATTCAGAAATGTCTCAACCGCCTCTCTGCAGAAGACGCCCAGTTCATCTACGATGCTGTTGGTGCCAACTGTGTGGTTGTCGGAACTCACCGGCATGGGTGTTGTGTTTTGCAGCGTTGTATCGATCACGCTTCCGGCGAGCAGAGGGCGCGTCTCATCGCTCAGATTACGTCCAACGCCTTCGCACTTGTACAGGATCCTTTCGGAAATTACGTCGTGCAGTATATTTTGGACCTTGCAGAGCCTCATTTCACCGAACCTCTGTGCCAGACTTTCCGTGGAAATATTCCCGCTCTGTCCAAGCAGAAGTTCAGCTCGAACGTGATCGAAAAGTGCTTGCGCACTGCTGACATTCAAATCAGACGCCAACTGATTGATGAGATGTTGGCAGGTGCGGAGCTCGAAAAGATGCTTAGGGACTCCTTCGCCAATTATGTCGTGCAAACAGCAATGGACTTTGCGGACGCCGACACACGTACACGCATTGTTGATTGTATTCGCCCTATTCTACCGTCTATTCGCCAGACCCCCCATGGGCGTCGTATCGCCGGCAAAATGTTGGCCTCAGAGGGCTCTGGCAGGGGCAGCGCTACTAGCAGCGGCCAGGTCACTCCCAATGAAATGAACTCAGCCCAGCTTCCTGGTCCTTTGCAGAGCCCAACACAGAAGTCATTCTTGTATCAACACAGCCCATTCCCAGTTTCTAATGTCGGTTCCCAGTTTGGAAACCAGACATATGCATTCAGTCCTGGCTCCGTTGCAGCCGCTCACACTGGTTCTGGCGGTGCTGCGGACAAAAGCAGCCTTTTCGCTTCAGCAATTGCGCAGCCCAACAGCAACCACAGTAACCAGAATCCGGTGTTCGCCAACTACTGAGCTGCGATATTCCACAGCGAAGCGCCAGTCCCACGCTCACTGAACTGTACTCATATTGAGACGATGACACGATCCTCATGATTCACGGCCACACCGACATATCGCCAGCAGATTGGAAGATTAGGATACTGATCCCATAAGACAAGACCTTATCTCACGCAAGATGCACCACATATCTGGATCATTCTTGGCGGCAAGATGTAAACCATTGATACATGCTTTTTTATCACATTTGATGTCCTGTATTTTTTCCATTGCTAACAGAGCTTACGTTTGCCACGTCCCTCGATGAGAATTTTCGAACAATGTCTTTTAACCCTTTTGCCGTCTGATTCCCATTCCAGCAGACTAATGAGGTTCCTAGTATCTGGCTGGGGGGCAGATTGATGTCTCATGCCTTGCGCTTTCTTTTAATATTCCCCCAATGTGCTTCTATCCACTTCCCCATGATCTTCTTGTGCCATTTCTCTCTCGCCTTGTTTCCTATTAACTATCATCTGGTTTTGCTTTTCTTCTTTTGCGTTCTATTTTGTCGTCTGCCTGGACTCTGCTATGTTGTTGCCTGCCGGTGGAGCTTGTGGCCGTTCTTTCTGGACTTATCTGGACAGTATGGACGGATGGTTGTTTTCGGGCTTCATCCGACATTGTGCCTGTTCTTTTGCTGCAAGTGCACTTGGGGTCTATGACTACCAATTTCTATTGGCCAGCGCCGTTCAACACCAGAGACAGTACCATAGATGTACCCATAGTTGATCAAACAGAGGATTTTTTCTTTATGATCACGGTTCTATAGTTAGAACCACTATAAGTCACCTAAGGATAAACAAATAATGGTCAGGGATCAATGATGCATAAAGCATCAAACACGTGACTCCGTGTTACCCGCGTTTCTTCTCCGGCGGAGATCTTCAGTGCTTGCTGTGGCTTATCGGAGCGCGATCTGCCCCAAACCATTCTTCTACTACTCCAAGTCAAAGCAGCGTCCACCTCTCCATTCCAGGCACCTCAGGGTGTGGTCTTGAGTTCCTGATGCTTCCCTCCGAGGTCGCCCAGTCGATCAGCAAACAATGGCCTTGTCGCGAGCTCCAAAGCCGCCAACTTGCTAGCCTGCTCGGCGTACGTCCGTCCACGAATTTGTGTCCCTGATAAACCCTTCTCCTTCCCCCCCCATCAACGTCGCAAGGCCATCTCTTCTTTCTGGCTCTATCTATCGCTCAAAAACCAGCAAAACTAACAACGTCTGCGGATTCTAACAGGCCAAGGTCTCAAGCCCATCTACCATCGTCGTCCATGGCATCTCTGCCACCTGCAAGACCACCATCGTGCGCAATGTGCTCGCCGCCCTCGACGTCCCGCACGCGCTCGTCCGCAGCCCCGAGTGCATCACCGGCCGCCATCTGCTCACCAAGACCCTTTGGGCCACCCTGGAGGCGCTGGGCAAGCGGGATGAGTGGGAGAAGTATGGCAAGGGACGCTGCGAACACGTCAGTACGCTCGCTGTGCTGCTGAACGAGTGTCTCGCTTCGGCTTTCGTTTCTTCGCAACAAGAACAACAACCGCTGACTCGCAACAATCGCAACAAATTCGTGCTGGTTCTTGATGGGATTGACAAGCAGAGAGAGGCGTCACCTACACTACTGTCTGCGCTGGCGAGACTGGGAGAGGTGGTATGTTCTTCTTTCTTCGCCCCCTACTTCTTTACCCCTGTGGATGACTGGGGATTGCTTCTGTGTTCATCCTCTGCATTGGAATTCTTGGGGTTTGATTGCTGACTACTATCAATTTTTCGGCCTATATCACAGATTCCTTCGCTATGCGTCGTCCTCGTCCTTAGTACCCCTCCGCGACCGCTCTTCTTACAATCTGCCGGCGTCCCACATATCAGCTTCCCGCCCTACACGCGCAATGAAGCCACGACCATCATCCTCCAGGGCGGTCCGCCGCCGGCTGCCGCCGCCACCCTAGGCCTGTCGGACGCGGTCGCATCGACCCTATATCCGCATTTCGTGGCGGCCGTCTACGACTCTCTCGTCGGGCCGACGGCCAGCTCCATCCCGACCTTCCGGTCGATCTGCGAGAAGCTGTGGCCGCGGTTTGTGGCGCCCATCACGACAGGCGAGACTCCGCCGGGGGGCGTGGGGGAGTGGGATTTCACTCGGCTGCTGGTCAAGAATCGGGCCCTGTTCCGGCATCAGGGGGAAGGGGCGCTGGTGCATCACATTGTCACTGAGGAGGATGAGGCGGAACCGCCCGTCGCGAAGGGTACGACCGCCGTCTTTTCCACCCAAAAACCGAAATCCCTGTCTGCCGCATCGGCCCCATCGCCCCTGCCTTCCTTGCCGTACTTCCCCACCTTGATCCTAACCTCGGCCTACCTCGCCTCGCACACGCCGCAACGGCTGGATACGATCTTCTTCTCCAAGTTCTCATCGTCCTCGCTGTCCGCGCGGAACAAGCGCGCGCATCACCGGCGGCGGCTGAAGCTGCTCTCGCGGGCTCAGCTGGAGGATGCTGCGTCGGCGGCGGCGGACCCGTCGACTCCCGGCAGCCGGAAGAAGGGCAAGCGCACCAAGACGAAGATCACCAAGTCGACGCTGGAGTCGGCCTTTGCGACCTCGTCCGCGACGACGTCGGCGGTCGGCGGCGGCGGCGGCATCACCGGCCCCTCGACCATCCTCACCGCGCGCCCGTTCCCGCTGGAGCGGCTGGTCGCCATCTACCATGCCATCGACCCCAACCCCCCTGCCAATCCGATTCGCATGGCGGCCGTGTCCGACGCGATCTATGCCGAATTGGCTACGTTGCGGCGGCTACGGTTGGTGGTGCCTGCGGCGGGTCGGGAAGGTCGTGTGGGGATGGGGTCCGGTGGGTTGAGTAGCGGGAATACCACGTCCGATACGGGGGAGAAATGGTGTGTGAATGTTTCAGGGGACTGGATCGGGGAGTTGGCAAAGACGGTCGGCGTAGAGGTGGGCGAATGGTTGGCGGGAGGTCTGGATTAGGAAGACCCTTCCTTTTTTTGACTTTTTTTTTCTGGGCTGTTTGCTTTCTTTTACTTGCTTTGATTCATGTATTGTTCACACTCATATCCCAGGCATCATACAGGCGTTTGGTGCATAGATAGACCTTTAAACAGAGGCCCACTTCTGTCGTTTCCTCCTACCATATCCATTCATCGACTGTGGCTTGGGCGCAGACGAGTAGGCTTGGTGTCTGAGGCCCCTGTAATGGCGCATCGCCGGTTTCAAAGCAGACGGAGGCGATGGGGTCTGCATACTGGTAGTTTGATAAGGGTGAGGAAATCTGTTCCCCGTTGCGCAGAGAAAACAGTTGGATCTTGCCCGTGTCGGTGGCTGAGCACACGGAAATTTAGCGTGGCGTTCTTGCGAGGGACGAAAATGGTTCAGTGGGAATCGGATGGATGCACGTACCGCTGGCTAGAAGCCCCAGCTCCAAACTGATGTCGAAGTCCGGTATGACTTGGGGCTTGAAGTCTTGGAAAGTGAGATAGGGTCGCGTGGAAGTATGCTTCTTGCTGGTCGGTTGCGGTTTCGGTTGAAGCCCGTTGGGCGGAAAGCGGATATCGTACATCTGGAGCTGAGCTAGAGTCAGCTTCATCCTTGTCAAAGAGAAATCAAATGTTCCTTACAGAGTTCATCCCTGCAACGACCATTCGGTAAGGGTCCACTCTGCGGATTTTTGTGACGGCATGTGGATGTTGGAGTCGTGTCGCGGTTCCCCCGCTCCGGAGGTCATGCAGGAAAACAGAGGAGTCTTTGAGACCGGCCGCGATCACATCTGAGGACAACCATTCGACACTGGTGACGAGGGCATGGGAAGTACCAATGCGTCGTTTGAGGATCGGCTTGCCCGCGTTCACATCGTCGGAGAACGGCTTTTTCGACAAGGCCCAGTAGGCTCCGTATCCTTGTAGAGTATACAAGCCATCAGATGCCCCAACAGCAAATAGCGGGTGGTCTCCCACTGGACAAGCCGAAGAACACCACAAAGACGCTGCCGTGCGAATGCGAATTGGTTGAAGGACTATATTCGAGACGTATCAGTCATACAAGTTCTTCAGACGATGAAGGGGTCACATACAGGATGGCGGCCATCGGTAGTCGCCGCCTTCATCTGGGTCTGGCAACATTCGAGGTGCCAGAAACGAGTCGCCCTGGGGACCGCTGTCCATCGTTGAACTGGTCTGGTCAATCTCCTGGCTGGATGCAGGGGTGGACGAGACTTCGTTCTTACAGCAGGTATCCTGTGTGACTCAATGAGATGGACGAAAGCTAAAGAAAGCCCGCATTAGCGTTACAACTGACAAGCAACAAGTTGGGGATCGTGGCTAAGCTGTTTACCCTATACGGTTCCTTGAATAGAACACGTTCCATGGTCCGATTGTAAGTCCATTTGTTCTGGTCGCAATCCGGGAAGCACACCCTTGAACGGCTGTTAGCTTGCCGGATACACGACCTCAAAGGACCGGAGAAGGCGCTTACGACACGGACGATTCACCGCCGCGGTGACCACCTGGGCGTTTGTTAGTGATCTTTCCCACTGCGGTCTTCGCGGACTTCTCTTTAGTATGATATATAGTACTTACTAGCAATCAAGATCCCCGAGCGCTTGTTGCGCAGCACGTGCTTGATGCTATACTCATCTGGCCAGGCTTCGAATTGATGCAGCTGGTTCCTGCGAAGCTGGCTGGTGTAGGCACGCGCACTTCGCCATTGTCTCACAGTGGTGGGCAAACGCAAGGCGCCGATCTCTCGTTGCACATCAAGAAGAGGGTGAGATAAAGATTGCGCCCTCTTTATCTTCTCCTTGGCCTCCCTCTTGATCTGCTGAACCTTTCGGCGACGTTCCTAGTCACGGCGTCAGCGAGATCATGCAAGTGATTCTGGGCCCTATTTTTTTTTTCAACAACCTCGTGGTCGGCGCGTTTGCGCTTGACCGAATCTTTCGAGTATTGAGCCCCTGGAGCCGCCGCGTGGCTGGCCTGGATCTTGAAATACTTCTTCTTTTCCGGGTCTAGAGACCATGGTTAATTAGATTTGTTCGAAACACAAATTACTGGGCAGTGGTCATTGTATATGTACCATAGTAGAATCCGGGGATCTCTCTCGCCATGGCTGGTGGACAGAGAGGGTTCAGATGTGCAAATTATGTAACGCAGAAGAGGTGTAATCGAAAGCATGAAGGTTTGTTGTGTATCTTGGTAGTAGTAACTGTCACGATGCTAAAGTATATCTGCTTGGATCGCCGGCGGCGTCATGTGCCGCGTGCTCGAGCACTCAACCCAATTTGTAGTCAGGCTGCTCGGGGATGGAAGAATCTGATCAGAACACCGCGTCGACTTCCGTTGGCGAACTTCCAAAGATTAAGTCATATACCTCGTAAGATTCCAAAGCAGTAGCAGGTAAAAGAGATCATAAATGAAAAAAATATGGTATGAATGCAACCGGACAATGGGGTGGATTTTCCACAGCGTTTAAAGTTAGGATGGATGACGTTCTGGTCGGTGTCCTCGATTACGTCAGCCACTCCCCTCGCTCATTGGTTGAGAGGCCAGTATATTCCTCTTTCCCTTTATGGCACTGGGCATTGAGTGCCAGGAGGTGCAGTGCGAGTCTCTCCTTCCTTCCTTCCTTCCTTCCTTCCTTCCTCCCTCGCAATGGGCATTCTTTCATGGCTGGTGAAGCAATGATTAAAAAATCGGATAATGACCTCTGTCTGCTTGATACTCCGCTCCAGTGGGCTCGGTTACCTCCAGCTAGACGACAAATCTTATCGTGCGTACGATTCAAAGCATAAGCTTAAAGATCATTTATACCCTGCGCTTTCCCAGTCTCCTTAGCCATGCCTATTACCTTGAGACTGAGCCGATCGGCGACTGTCATGGAGAGCACCACCTCCCTCGACAAACCGACTGCCCTCGATGTGAACAATGGTCTTGTCGAGGAGAAGTCGGACTCGATGGCACCAACCCAAGTAGCCATCGAAAATGACGAGGAGGACGAGAAAGACATTGATACTCTCATTGAGGAGTTGCAATCTGTCGATGGCTTTGCCGATCTGAAACTTCTGGAATCGAACCACACAGGCGGTCGACATCCGGTATCAGATGAATTGCTTCGCACAGACTCAAACACAGGTCTCAGTACGAACGAAGCACTTCTACGACGGAAGAAGTTCGGTCTCAATCAGATGAAGGAAGGGAAGGAGAATCTGATCTTCAAGTTTCTATGGTTCTTTGTTGGCCCCGTCCAATTTGTCATGGAAGTATGTGTCGCTCATTCATTCTCGTGAGAGATAGCTACTGACTGTCTACCGACGTGCAGGCGGCGGCGATTTTAGCTGCTTATCTTCATGATTGGGTCGACTTGGGCGTGATATGCGGTCTTCTCCTATTGAATGCGTCTGTGGGGTTTATACAGGAATATCAGGCGGGTTCCATCGTCGAAGAGCTGAAGAAGACTTTAGCACTGAAGGCTATAGTTCTGCGCGATAGTGTACTCTCTGAACTTGATGCAGCCCAACTCGTCCCGGGTGACATTGTGAAGATAGACGAGGTACCTACCCTTGGCTGTTTCTGCCAATGACTTCTTGGCTAACGAGAGAAAGGGCACGATCGTTCCTGCGGATGGCCGCATTATGACCAACTCTGCTATACAAGTCGATCAGTCGTCAATCACTGGGGAGTCCCTGGCGGTCGATAAGCATTCGGGAGATACATGTTACGCGTCCTCCACTGTGAAACGAGGCCACGCCCGAATCCTCATTACCGCTACTGGCGATTCGACCTCTGCGGGGCATGCTGCAGCCTTGGTCAATGCCTCTGCCTCGGGAACAGGCCACTTCACCGAAGTCCTTCAGTATATCAGCACCGTGTTACTTGTCCTTGTTGTTGTCACTCTTATTATTGTTTGGGTATCCTCCTTCTACCGTTCCAACAACACCACAACTATCCTCGAATTCACATTGGCCGTCACAATGATTGGGGTCCCGGTAGGCCTTCCCGCAGTTGTTACCACCACGATGGCAGTAGGAGCAGCGTACCTGGCGAAGAAACGAGCGATTGTCCAACGGCTATCAGCTATTGAATCCCTTGCTGGCGTTGAGATACTCTGCTCAGACAAAACTGGCACCTTGACCAAGAATAAGCTGTCTTTGACAGAGCCCTTCACCGTTCCTGGTGTGGAAGCTGAAGATCTGATGCTAACGGCATGCCTCGCCGCAACTAGAAAGAAGAAAGGCATGGATGCAATAGACAGAGCATTTTTTCGAGCTTTATCCTCCTACCCGTGTGCAAAAGCAAAGCTCACAGACTACAAAGTGGTTGAGTTCTCTCCGTTTGATCCAGTCTCGAAGAAAATCAAAGCAGTAGTACAGTCTTCCGAAGGAGAGCGCATCACATGCATGAAGGGATCTCCTTTATTTGTGCTTAGAACCGTCCAGCAAGATCACGAAATCCCTGAGGAAATCGAAACTGCATACAAGAACAAGGTCGCAGAGTTCGCGACTCGCGGTTTCCGCTCGCTTGGTGTAGCTCGGAAACGCGGTGATGGCGATTGGGAGATTTTGGGTATAATGCCATGCTCCGACCCTCCGCGACACGACACTGCAAAGACTATAAGCGAGGCCCAGACTTTGGGGCTTTCAATCAAGATGCTCACAGGCGATGCGGTAGGAATTGCTCGCGAGACCTCGCGCCAGTTGGGACTAGGCACGAATGTATACAATGCCGAGCGTCTTGGTCTTGGTGGAGGGGGGACAATGCCTGGCTCCGAGGTTTATGATTTTGTTGAAGCCGCTGATGGCTTTGCAGAAGTCTTCCCAGAGCACAAGTACAATGTCGTAGATATTTTGCAGCAGCGTGGATATCTGGTAGCCATGACGGGGGACGGTGTCAACGATGCCCCATCTCTGAAAAAAGCTGACACTGGAATCGCAGTCGAAGGATCTTCAGATGCCGCGCGATCTGCCGCTGACATTGTAT